TTTGTTATGCTTGTTTTTCTGGTTGTTTTCTGAGGGTTTTACAACAACAGTCTGAACTGTAATTGTAAATTATTAATATATTTCAATTTGGTGCAGACACTGGCATAGAAAATATGACTGTTAAATTCTTTAAAGATTAGCTGTAACCTGGTCATGCATGAACATAGTGGTCTGCAAGGCCAGGTTCTAGCAAGCCAGATTATACTGATGATAAAAAAATATGTATAAAAGGGAACAAGGTACTTTTGCAATTTTAATAGACTCAGCTGAAAACATTAAAACTGCAGGTCTATTATTTTAATCTCAGACAAACATTTGCCTTATACAGCTTTAGGCAAAACAGTGTTTATCTACAGGACCCAGGAGTGTACCTCACCTGCAGGGTTTGAGTCCTAAATCATTCCCTAATCATGTCCCAGCCTGATCCTGGGATGAGATCAGCTCTGAAATCACTTCTGTTCCTGCATGTTTTCCATAGAAAGGAAATTTTGGCTTTTAAACTGACTGAAGCTACCACAGATGACTGCTATGACTGAAGGAAGAAATAGCTGATATATGTATACCACTAGATAAACCCACAACCTCATCTCTTAACTTTGTTTTCTAAAAGGGGAGCATCCACAGACATCATAGTCTATGTTTATTTAGGTCAGTGACAAAAATGTCTCACAAAGTTTTGTCATTAAACGTCATTTGTCATTTGAAAAGATCAGTGCAGCACCATTTGTTCAAGCAGGGGTGATATTTAAAGAAGGATACAGTAGACAAGGACGAATAGTTTAGGAAATTCATCACAAAGCTGTGATTTCTGATCTTCGGTAAGCTTGGTTAATTACCAAATCAATTAATAAATAGCCTTTGTAGACACCTTCTGAGCTAGAAAAACTTCAGATATCTACCTTCTTTTACATTCTTACTAATGTGAATCTAATCTTTATTTGAATCATACTAAGGCACATTTGTACAAATTTTCCCATGAACATAAGTGAACAGCTATAGTGTGATTTATGCTATTTTGTCTTTTATTTTCAAATGAATGTATTACCAAAATCCTTTATGTTCTATAAAAGAAAGGTATTAAGAAAAGACTTCAAGTAGTCTTTCCTGTGTTTTGCGAAGTATCTTTTGTCTTGTCTCTTCCAAATGTATTTACAATCATTTTGTGCTCCCTATTTCATGAACAGTTCTTGACCTTCGTGTGGCAAAGTAACATATTATTGATTACAGAACAACTTAATTTAACTTGGTTCATTATATTCCAGAACAATTAAAAGAAGTATGTAAGAGCTATGAATATTAAATGATAGTGAAATGGAAATTTCTTTAGTAATCAATTTTATTAAAGTTATGTTCAATAGTCAATCTAATAAATTTACCATTTATATTTAGCAGAATAAGTCTTATATGTATTCTGATTGTTATTCAGTTGCTAAAAGTGCATTTCCTTGGGGTGGGGGTGGGAGGGAGTTTGATGTTTGATCTGGTTTTGTTATATTTATTTCATAAAAATTTGAATAAGGATGAACTTCTGCTTTGTCTGTCAGAAGCTACCAAGTATTTCAGGTCCCAGATACTCACCAGCAAAGGGAGTCTTCATAAATAACAGGGATAAGTCCCACTCGACTGAATTCATTGGGAACATTTGTTATTCCTTCAATGTGAGACACAATTCAGTCAGACATATAAAAAATTCAACTAGATAATTACCAATTTCATTATTTTTTCCTGGGTGCAGGAGAATCTAAAAGTAAAGAATAGATTTTATTTGACTTTATCTCACAACCTCATGGGGAACAATACAGATGATAAGGTGAGGTTGTCCACTGAGTCCAGTGGTGCAGGATGCAGGGTGCCTGCCCAAGGAAACAGATGAAGATGTGCTAAGGAGCACAATCCTGGGAACAGCCTGCAGTGATCACCCCTTGTGCTGCAGCAATGTGGGCTCTGAGAAAGATTTTGAGGTCTCAGACATGGTAGAAGCTGAAGGAGAATAAATAACTTTTATTTATAAAGGACCACTTGAAGAACCTGCAGAGGCAGCAGGCAAAATGTGAAGCAGGGTAGATTTTGCTCAGAGGCTTCTGGTTAAGTCATGGTCATGTCTGAGCAGGGGTAGATGCAGTGCCACACAGAGAAAAGGACAAATAAGAACCCTCAGCAGTGTCCTGCATAAAGCCACGGGTTTGGGTTCCCCAATATGTAATACATATTGACCCACTGGCTCCAGCCCAGCAGGGATGTGGCTCTATGATCCATAAGGAGAGTGTGAATGAGTGAAGCTTGCTTCATTAAGGGGGATGTCATTGGAATATTCAACTACATAGAGGGGGATTGTAGGAGAGGCTGACAGGCATTTCTTTCTGCAAGCTGTGTATTGAAACAAAGGAAATTCTGAAAAGGTACAAGTGAGGAAAAAAAAAAAAATCACAATAAGCATGTCCAGAATGCTGTAGTCTCTTCAACCCTGAATATATTCAAAACTCGGTAAGACCCAGAAGATTCAGGTCTAACTTCTAAGTTAGTCTTACTCCCCTCAATAGCATATGGACTAGAGAGATCTCTGGAAGGCCCTACCAGCCCAAATCATTCTATGGTTCAGCACCCTGTGGTAGTCATTGGGCCAGGAGCTCCATTATGCCACCTCTCTGAAAGCAGATGGGAATATCACCAAATAACTTTCTTCAAACCAAGCAACATGTAAAGATTCTTTGTTATTATATGCAAAAGACAAAAGCTGAGTCTGCACAATAATGCTAGTTCTACCTTCTAAAACAGTAAGATCATTAGCTGTGTTTAGTGCTTGACAGACTGCTACTTTTAAGAAAATCAGATTTAATTTTTCCAACAGGCATATTAAAGATATTCTGAAATTGCTATTTGGAAAACTGATACTCCCTCAAAACTTTTTTCCAGAGTACTGCCAGGGATTTAACTTAGGAATTGTTGGTATCCGGCTCCTAGTTTGCCAGATTTGACACTCTAAAATACATATTCTTTCCAATAGCCACTAAAAATCTTTGGGACATGATAGAGAAACAAAAAAGAAAAAGAACAATAAATTGTTTGCAACAACAGATTTAAAGCTCTGAACCACCATCCACAATAAAGATCCAACTCATTCAGATACAATCATTTATTAGAATACTCAACAAAAGTTTAAGGTAGAGTGAAAATATGGATTAAATTGTATATTATGTATACTATAAGGTGATAGAATATTAAATTTCTATTCAATACAATACATAATTTAGTAAGAAATATTTACAATAAACTTGATGATTAGAGAGCCTTTAAATATTGGGGTATCTCTGAAAATTTACAGGTCCTGCAGGCAAACTTCTCAGCTGGTTTTGAAAAGTTTGGTAAATCAAAAAGATTTACCAAATTGGTAGTATTTCCCCTTTGAAAAGACAGCATTTTTTTCATTTTGAATTAAAAAATAAAGCAATTCATAAACCAAACAAATGTTACCACTTCCTTTCAGACTTAAAGTTTTTTTAACACGTTTTTCCAAGGAGAAATAAACTGATATAGTTCTAGTTTTCTTGATCTTTTCAGATGACAAAATATTAATAGCATGCTAGTGAAAAGTTAGTCTATTTTATGGGCTATCAACTCTGTCCATTTCATGAGCACAGAAGTCAAGGGAGAGGACAGCTTTAACTTCGAGGCTGAGCAAATAAAATAAGTTTTCAATCAAGCAATTTAAACTTCACTCATCCTAATAGAGTAGTTGGCAGAAAGAATGTGAACCTCTTAAAAATTTCTTCCTGCCACTCTCCCTCGCTCAGAATCTCTGGTGTATGAAGCCAAACTTTAGCTGTTGACTGTGTGTACTGAATTGGCTAATGGATAAAGCATTCCAAAAAAATAGGTTTGACCTGATTTTGACTAGTGTGTGAGATCTCTGCTTTCAAACTGTCATTTGTTTGGCAATTGTTGGCATTTAGACCGACTATCAACATCACAAATAATTACTGTCAATGATTATGAATTAGGAATCTTAAGTAATTTTAGAATTTTTTTTTGTGTTGCATTCCATTGAATAGCAATGTTCCTTATATATTTGTTTTAGTTAGGCACCTTTCAAAGGCAAAAATATCTAATAATAGCTGATTACCACATAAAGGAAATGACATCTGCAGCATAACTGCTATTTATATCTTTGAAATCACTACTTTAAAATATCACTTTAAAATTCCTGTAAAACCTTCCTGTATGATGTCAGTCTTAAATCTTCATTCATTATAATTCTATCCTCTATTTCTCTCCAAGGAGTTTCTTTATTTGCACTTATCAAAAGTATATCAATATTATTATTACCTATATGAAAGTACTGCCTGGAGCATGAACCAAGATTTGGGCCTCACAGCCCAAATTCTCCATGAGCACCAATAAACAAGAATTCCCTTACTAGAAATTTACACAGATTAGAGAAATAAATGTTGAAGAGAAAGGTAATATTATCATATCTGGGGGAAGAAAAAAAGGATTTATTGCAGATCACACCAGAAGAATGAAATGCAAACCTCGGCAGACTTTGGAAATCATCCAAGCTCTCCCAATCTATTTTATTACCTCTAAATTTAAAGATAACCATATGGTAGGATCTTTAGTCCTTGTTACACTCAAGCCAAGGGGAACACACTTGTGTGTTCATACAGATAACTATGTGATTACTCAGAGAAAGTAAGGATAGAGCATTCATACTAGATATTCTTGGCAGCTTTTCACGTTCACTTTAAAATAGCAGCAGCCACTCTTCCTCAAACTGCTTACCTCTGTGTTAATTGCCTGTGTGATTTTTGAACCTGAGTGAGCCTCAACCCTCCCTTCTTCTGGCCTTGAACATCAAACACATGTGTAGAATGCATTTATCTAAATCAAAACACACAGGACCTGTCTCTCTGACTGAGCCTCACAAGTGTAGTCCTAAAGGCAGCTACCAAAACACTGGCAGCAGATACAAGCAGTGGTGTACAGACAATAGCAGTTTTTACCTGGCATGTACAAAAGTAGATCCATCTCTGCTAAGCAGGAAATGGCTGAGTTTCCCTCACCCTTCAGCCATGGGTTATGCTGCAAGGCTCAGGTGGTGCCTTCAAGTCACATTGCCTCTGGGGACAAACTCCATCATGGTCCTGCCTTTCTCTAGCACAGCGTTGCTGGAAGCACCACCACTGCTTCTGAAAGACATAACTAAGAGATGAAACTTTTCCCACAGACAGCTGTCAACTTGTCCCCCACCACACCAGTATCCTACAATGTGACATTGTAGTACCACCTTTCTTCACATTGCTTCCAATAGCCAAATAATTGAAGAAAGTTTAATGGGTTATCCAACAATAAAAATTATTTTTATTTTCATAGCACTCCAAATTTTAAATCGTTCTTTCTGATCAGGTATTTCAGAAAGGGTGGACAAACACTCAGTAGTTAGAACATGGTGCTCTGATAGCAGGATATATTCATCATATGCTGGACACTCCTGTATTAAACTCTAAAAACAATTTAAAAACAAACAAACAAAAAAAAAAACATAAAATTTGAGGAGAGATTTCTTCTTCTTATCATTCACTCTCTCCAAGCTCTCCCATGGTATAATCATAATTCTCTGTGTCAAAGTAGGTCAAAACTTCTCAGACACTCGTACAAACCATTTTTAGAAACTGTAGAGCTGGCCAGTCATAAAGGGAGCACAATATGAAGGAAAATAAGAAAAGAAAATATATAAGAGGCAAATATTTCTTGTAGTACAATACACATATAAGATAGTTTCTATATATTCATCCCTGCAGGAGATGGATCTGTGCATCCTAAAACTGATATAAATGATGCATTTCTATTCTAACCCACTAAACAGAGCTGGATACAGGGTTTCAAGCATACTTATTATTCAAGATAATTGCAGATTGTGCATTATAATATTTTATCTCTTTCAAAGTTAAAGATAATTTTTGAGGAAATTAGTTCTTATGTGCATTCATAGGAGTTCTTGATTGTAAACTTCACTTGTCAAAATAATATCAGGATATGAATAGCAATGTTTAGATCTGGAGACTTAGCCTATCTTATAAAAGGAAAACCATAGTGTTTTTCTTATGAAAAAAAAGTTTTAAGTATTTTTGTCGTTCTGATAATTTTTTTAAGCCTTCTGGGAGATTGGCACCACATACTAACTTGTAGCCCATGAGGATTTTGTTTTCCTTCATTTCACTTTGCCTGTGTTATAAACTACTGCTTTTATTACAGAGTCTTGGCAGTCACCTACTTCTAGCAGCTTTTGCTGCTCTGTAATAAGGGATTTTCCCTAAGGGATACCACTTTCAGCTGGTTAATATTTTCTCAGGAGTTGTTTATCTAGTGAGACAAGAAAAGTACTTGTTCCTAAATATGCTGTAAAGATCAGTTGGAGAGCAAATCAAAGTGTTTCAAGACTCATTTGGCAGGCTTCATATGCTGCTTATTTTTTTTGGTTTCTAATCAACAGGCAGGGAAGAGAAGCTATTATTTCAGCTGATAATTGCTACATTATCCTAATGTGCCCAAGAAGTGGGTACATATTAAAACAACCTTTGTATCACTTATTCCAAGTTCTTGCTATTTTTATACAAGAAGGTTGCTGAAAAATGAGTTCATGGTATCTTCTTCAGGAAAAAGTTTACCTGATGTCCTTGCACATAAGAGGGATGTCATTTCAGGAAGAAGGGGCTGACATTACCTTAGTTACTGTGGAATAATGGAGTCAAGCTATTCAAGGTCTACCCAGGACAAGAAATTTAATTACAGAATTCCAGCCAACTGCACAGTACAGTAGGAATTCAAAGGTATCAGGAATACGCCAGAGCATGGTGATATATTAGCCTTTTCATCCTCTTGTGAAACAGATAATTTACACTCCCATAAGCACAATACAAGATAAAGTATAAAAATGTCAGTGTTAATTTCCTAAATCCATTCACTTCTCTTTCCTCTATTGGTGGATCTTAATGAATTAATGTGATTCCAGTGTTCCCACCAGAATTTGCATCACCTGCAAAACATAAAAGTCACATCTCTTCTTTAGTTTGACTACACAGTTTTCTTTGCTGCCCACTGCTCTACTAATAAACTCCAGACAGCTGCTTGAGACAGTTTGCAAAAGATAAGGATCCTTCTACTTTCAGGATATTTAACTACTGGTGATATAAACTGCTGAGCTTTAATTCTTCTCCAGGCAAAGTACAGAGGATCATTTCTACCTAGTCCTTTCCACTGCTCAGCAAAGCCTTTGATAACACATCTTGACCAATATGTGTCATTTTAAAGATGAAACCATATCTTTTCCAAGGCTATATAGGACAAATGACTGCATACATTTCTTTTTTTTTTCCTGTGTTCCTAGGCAACATGTTGCGGACACAATATAATCTGGGGATTCACATTTATCTTTCTTCCATTCATCCATGACATAGGGCAGTTACTGTCCACTCTGTTATTTCTAAGATAGTAAAACTGTTGTAAGAGAACCCAGCATTTATCTGAATATATTCAGTTTGCTCTCTTGGGTAGCACTGCCATTTTTTTTTATACACCTTTAATTAAAACTGTCATTGCTGGGATTCCTTTTTTAATCTGCAAGGTTTCGGGCAAAGTAAATATTCATGTTTTTAAAAAAGAAGTGGTGAGAGGGAGAGACAGTCCCATCACTTGCATTTAATCACACTAAACAAGCTCTTTAGACAATTTGTTCTGAAATTCCTCTAATTAGAGCTTGCCCTCCAGGTAATGCTCTGATCTGATTTACCAGTGAGTATAAATTAGGGACATTATGTAATTAGCTCTAAGACCACAAATAGAAGGAACAGCTGGGTGGCTCGGAGGGGAAGCAAATAAAGAGCTCCCATCAGATTTCTTAATAAAAAAAATTATAAAAGTCCCTAATTCTAGATATAGTCATCAGAGACTGCTTTTCTAGCCTTATGTACAAAGGAATCCTACATCTAAATTTTCTCTGAGAGATGACATTTGGCATTCTTCATTAACCTGGCACCTCTTCAGACACTGACACTCTGTGAACGGTAGCTAGAGATTCATATCACACAGGAACCATCTTACTCAGGAGAGATTAATATTTTAGGTAACTGGCAAAAATATCTTCATGGATTAGCAATGACTGTATCATCTGTTCCCCATGGGTAATGCATAAAGCCAACTCCTGACTTTTCTGCAATTTCTGCCTTCATTTTGGCTCCTGCCTATCTCTAACCTGAGGTGTTACCCTCTCACCTGGGACAAGGCTTAAAGAACAACCTAGTTCCAATGTTCCCACACCAATTTTAACATACAATAAAATATAGACTGTTGAACTAGTGGCTTAAAACTATTTTAGTGTCTTTGTTTCCTGACAGTAACAACACTAATCCACGAAAGCCCCATTCATGACTTGTCTGAATTTTGCTTTTCCTGACAACGGTGACATCATCTCTAAAATTTTCATGAAATATTCTGTGCCTGGCTGTGAGCAGCAGGGCCCGGAGGCTCCCTGGCTGTCCCGCTCGGCCCGGGGCCGCCCCGAGCGGCCGCCCCGAGGCTGAGCCGGGCCCGGGGCGGGGCGGGGAGCGCTGCGGGTGGGGAGCGCAGCGGGCAGAGCACGGGGAAACTGAGGCACAG